TCTAGATAATTATTCTATTAATTCATTATAAAAAAAGTGTTTATGATTATCTTGAGAAAAAAATATTATATTATGATAGAATACAATAAACATATATTATCAAGATTAATAATTTTTAATGAATACAAATTTTATATGAAACAAAATTTAATATTTTAAAATCAGAAATTATATTCATTCTTAAAAAATACAACTATATATATGAACATAAATTACATTCATTCTAAAAGAATACGATTAATAATGGTTAACAGTTACATTTATCTTTAAAGAATAAAATTAAGAATGGTTAAAAATCAAATAAAAATGTATTCTCTCAAGTTAATTGTCTTTGAAGCTTTGCTTATGCTACCTGCAAACAAAATAAGAGACATTATGTTAAGAATGATGTATAATTCTTTTAAATTGTAAATAAGAAAAACATACATAGTAAAATAATCAATTTATATTTTCTTTATGGCTATTTTAGATTGAGTGCATTATATGAAGATATTAAATAATTGTGATTTATTTTTAAATACAATACAATCAATCTAATCTGATATGATACACAACTAATATCATTATATATATATATATATATATATATATATATATATATATATATATATATATATATATATATATATATATAATATCATAGAAAATGAATATTTTTTTAAATAAATGAATTTTTAAATATACAATTATTAAACAAATACACTTGATTTTCTTTAATAGTCCAAATATTCGACTTGATTCCAACTATTCTTACAAAAATGTGTTTATTATCATAAGAATATAACTCTCCCCAATTATATTTGTGTTGAGCTCGATTCTAAATCTTCCTATTCTAAAAGAATAACATGCATTACTCGTTATTCACCACCAAACATCAAACGAGAGTTTAGTTAAAATCACCTGCTCACCGATTCTCACCGATTTTAGAAATAGTTCATATCTAAACACCGTTCGTTAAAAAACATTTAAAATCCTGTAAACAAATAAAAAATCAATTATTATTGATTATACTAATAAGCAAGCTACAATACAAAAAGTAAAAACCATTCAAAACTCCACAAAAATCACGTCTAGCAAAGCATTTTTTTAACCTCAATTTAGCACAAATTAAGCAAAGTTGCATTTCTTTACTTTAAATATCTACTTTTGTTATACTTTGTGATGCAGTAAGAAGAAGATGGTTCTACTCTTTATTAACAATCGATGAACTATCACCCCGCTCCCGAGTTGAAACAAAGAAAAGAAGAGAAAAGAAAAGAAAGTAAGGAGAGAAAAGAAAGGAAAACAAATTTATCTTTTGTGCTCCCGAGTTGGAAAGAAATGGAATACAAGTTAAAAATTTTATTCTTTCTTATCAAATCATCCCAAATCGAAAGGAAAGTTAGGAGGGAAAGTGATCCTTCCATTTCCTTCCTTTAATGAAACTCGGGAGCATTAATCTCTCTTACTTTCCTCTCATTTCCGTCCATTTCCGTTCTTTTCTCTCCTTAAGTTGAACTCAGGAGCGGGGTGTATAAGAACTTTAATAAAAAAAAACGTTTAATTCTAATTCGTAAATGTTTATCTCTATAAAAACAACATAATTGATTGGAATCAAACAGGAATCAAAACTAAAAAAAAAGAACATACATGTAACTAGGGTTAATTGTCTGTCAATGGCAACCGGTGATACTTGATGATTGATGATTGATGAAACGAAGTCCAAGTTCTAATCGACAGAGTGAGATACCGGCAATGACATTGATTTAGGGTTTTGTGGTTTAGAAGATGGTTCTATTCTTTATTAACAACCGACGAACTATAGGAACTTTAACAAAAAAAATGTTTAATTCTAATTCGTAAATGTTTATCTCTATAAAAACGACATATTTGATTGGAATAAAAAAAAAAAAACATGTAACTAGGGTTAATTGTCTGTCAATAGCAACTGGTGATACTTGATGATTGATGATTGATGAAACGAAGTCCAAGTTCTAATCGACAGAGTGAGATACTTACAATGACATTGATTTAGGGTTTTAGGGTTTATGGCAAAGAAGGCGATTGTGAGTTGTAGCCGAACGGATGTAAGCTAAAGATATGAAACTGATTTTCTTATTTAAATATAAATTAATAAATTTAAATTTACCAAAATTAATTAATGGTTAAGATTACAATTTTTACCACTACTTATATTTTTGAAATGATTAGTCTGCATGAATCCCTACGGATAAACCACATGCACAATAATTGTTCACCCACATTTGAACCTATTTTTATAGGGAAGAGATATACGGAAAACAAAAAACTCTAAAAATCATAAAAATGTATAAAAAAAAAAACTTAGAGATCACTATTTTTTTTTTGACTTTTTATATATAAAAATCGCATCTTTTTTTTTAATAAAAAAAAATGCGGGAGAGATAAAAAAGGTGCAGGGTCCTTTGTTTGCTTGGCTAGTTAAGTATGAGCTAATTCATAGATCTTTGGGCTTTGATTACCAAGGAATAGAGACTTTACAAATCAAACCGGGGGATTGGCATTCCATTGCTGTCATTTTATATGTATATGGTTACAATTATCTCTACTCCTAATGTGCCAATGATGCAGCACCAGGCGGACTATTAGCTAGTGTGTATCATCTTACTAGAATAGAGTATGGCGCGGATTAACTAGAAGAGGTATGCATAAAAGTATTTGCCTCGAGGAGGGATCCTAGAATTCCGTCTGTTAAAAATCATTTTTTTTTTGTTTTTTTCAATTTTTTTAGCGAAAATATAAAAAAAGTTATGAATTTTCATAAAATAAAATAAAAAAATATTTGTGATCTCTAAGTATTTGTTTATGTATTTTTATGATTTTTAGGGTTTTTTTTTAAAGTTTTTTGTTTTCCATAATATATATATATATATATATATATATATATATTAGAATTAGGAGTTAAAAGAAAAAGCAAAAGTATTTTTTTATTTAATTATAAATGTTGAGAGAGGAGTGTTTTTACAAAATAATAATAATAATAATAATAATAATAATAATAATAATAATAATAAATAAATAAATAAATAAATAAATAAATAAATAAAATCGACCAACGAGGTAAAGAAAGAGGAGACTGGGTAGATTCCCCTCAGTCCGAAATCGCGCCACCTAAACCGTAGTGGCGGTGCTGTGTTTTCGCCGCGGTTTCATAACAGCAGCCCTTTTTTTTTTTTTTTTTTTTTGCATAAAAGTAAGTTTGACAAATAAATAATTGAAAGATTCCAAAGCAAATTATCATCATGGAAGTCGAAAACACTATTCTTTGGCGGGCGTTTGACGCTTGTCAAGATAGTGTTGGGGAACCTACCAAATTATTACTTGTCTCTTTTTGCTGCTCCCACTGGAGTCTTGAACAAGCTAGAAAGAATCAGACGACGGTTTCTTTGGGGAGGATCAGATGACAAAAAGACAATACATTGGGTTTTCTGGGACAAAGTCACTGCAGAAAAATCCAAAGGCGGTCTGGGGGTTGGATCTATCAAATCCTTAAATATCTCACTATCAATGAAATGGTGGTAGCGTCTCCGACCAGAACCGAAACACATTATGGCCAATAGTCATAACAAATATCCACAAACAACACAATAAAGATGATGACTGCTACTTCTTAAAATCGATGATTGGAGTTTGGAATAACATCACATGTATAAAAAGTGATCTGGCCAAATTGGGCATCTCGCTCGATAAGATCATCAAAAGATAGCAGGAGGAAAGTGGGATCTTGTGGAAATGTGATCTTACTGGGGACAATAAATACAGGGTAAGTGCCATTCGTTATGCCTTGGAAGTAAATGGCAACACAAACGTTGGCAGGTTCAATTGGATTAAGGAGATTCCACTAAAAGTTACATGCTTTATTTGGAGGGCCAAAATGGGACATATCCCATCTTCTGTGGCACTTTCTAACCGGGGGTTGCCCTATCTTCCATCACCTCCTGTCAGTGTGAATCGACAGAAGAAACCTCCAATCATGTACTAGTCCGGTGTTCTTTTGCAAAATCGGTAATGGATTAGATTTTCAAATGGTACAATATCCCAACGGCTGACTTTCACACTGTAAATGACATGCTTGATCACGCTTCTAAGTGGGGAAATTATCCAAAGAAAAAGAATAGATTGTTGAGCATTTGCTATGGTACATTATGGAGTATATGGAAGGCAAGAAACGAAAGACTTTTTAGTAACCAACGGGTGCAGGCTATGAAAGTTGTGGACATAATCAAATCAATGACTTTCCTTTGGTTCAAGCATAGAGGTGGTTCGATTGGAATGTCATCCTGTTTAATTCTCTATAATGTTTTTTCAATGTTTCTTTACTGCAATTTTCTTTTGGTCCCTTGTACTGTTTTTCTTCTCCTACCAACTTGCTAGAAGCGGTCTCTTCTTTTAATATATTTCTCTTGTTTGCCTGTTAAAAAAAAAATAATTGTGATTTTATAACTAGCTTCTATGTTATACACGAATATGAATAGTATCAAATTTGGCCGGACATTTTATAGGGAACGGGAAGCTCAATGATACGGCACGGAATCCTAAATTTGGCTTCTAGCCGAGCCGAAAGTCATTATATCTGACGTGGCACTGTACGGATCATCTCGCATATCCAACGGCTAAAATCCCACACAACCAAAAGATCTCAAGAAAGAAGGCATTACAGCTTACGACACTCGCCAGTCGTCAGGGTAGACTCTTCTACACCCGTAGTCACTGTGTGTTTTTAGTGAGAGGAAGTAGAGAGAATAACTACGTGACTTCGAAATCTCACAGGTATGTTTGCATTAATTTAGCTACACCTATAAATACATGTCGCTGATTGTCGATCATCATGCGGAATTTTATGACATACGCATCTGCTTTAACTTGAATTTAGGGGTTTTCGTACTTTGACGTGAAAGACGATTTCTAGGGTTTCGTTTTTTTTCTGATTTACTGTTTTCAGCTTTGTAGATTGTGTTGTGGTTTTGAAAAACTGAGAGGAAATGCAGACGAGGAATATGGAGAGGAAGAATTCGATTAGGGAGAGAGGGAAGCGGGGTTTGGAGGGTGGTGAAGATGAGCAGCAGCAACCGGAGCGGAAGCGTCCGGCTTTAGCTAGGTATGGAATGAAGTTTGTTCTTCTTTTGTTATGGCGTAGGGTTGAGATCTAATTTGCAAATAGGGCAATTGACATGGTAACTTGTTAGATTTTTTGTGAAATATGTAAAAGTAAGTGTGTTGAGTATAATATCATGTTCGTTGCTTACATGCTTTGATTTAACATGTCGATGATGATATAGTTGAGTTGGTTATTGCTTTTGTTGGATAACGTGTATTTATGGGGTATTGGTAAAGTTATGTTTGGTTCTTGTGTTGTTCTGGGGTATCAGTATAGTTTTCTGTTGGATGCTATAATTTTTTTTCTACTTTCGTTGTTCTCTATTTCCCTCTTACACTTCCAATTGTAGGAGATTACCATGTATGTACAGTTGATATGAGTTTACAGAAGCACAAGCTTTTCTATCTTGTGTCAAATAGAGTCTAGAGAGAGTCTACTATGGAACATAATGTATGAATGAAAACAGGGTATGTTAAATGGAATTACATGTATTGTTTTGCTTTTGTTTCTGCTGAGTTCATGAGGAAGAACATATCAAAATAATGCAATATTCTAAATATTTGCTTCTTGGATTTCCATAGGTGCTATTTCCTTCTCCAATCAATTCTATCTCAACTTCTATTTTCTTTTATTTCATGTTTTTACCTATGCTTATTATGGAGAACTTTAGGAGTTCCACTTTTGATGGATATATAATTGTATATGCAGTGTTATTGTGGAAGCTTTGAAGGTAGATAGCCTCCAAAAACTTTGCTCATCCTTGGAACCTATTCTTCGCAGAGTTGTAAGTTTCCCCCTTTTTCATTTCCACTTTTAAATATTCTACTTCTGTTGACTCTTGTCACAAGTCAAATAAAAAAAGTCAATCCAAATGATGACTAACATTAATATGTCTTTTCACATGACATTAAACAGGTTAGTGAAGAAGTGGAGCGAGCTTTAGCAAAGCTAGGCCCTGCTCGACTAACTAACGGAAGGTTTGTCAAAATACTTTTCTACACAATTTCACAATTAAATTACAATTTTACCCTTTTTAGAGTAAAAACCGACTTACCCTTTTCAGACCTTCTTCACCCAAGCGTTTAGAAGGACCAGATGGTAGAAACCTACAACTTCACTTCAAATCAAGAATGTCTTTACCCCTCTTCACCGGAGGCAAAGTTGAAGGGGAACAAGGTGCTTCAATTCACATAGTCTTAATCGATGCCAACACCGGACATGTTGTGACAACAGGGGCAGAATCGTCAATTAAACTCGACGTTGTTGTTCTAGAAGGCGATTTCAACAATGAAGATGATGAAGGGTGGACTCAAGAAGAGTTTGATAGCCATGTTGTGAAAGAACGTGAAGGAAAAAGACCATTGTTGACTGGAGATTTGCAGGTTGTGCTTAAAGAAGGTGTTGGAACTTTAGGGGAGTTGACTTTTACAGATAATTCAAGTTGGATTAGAAGCAGGAAATTTAGACTTGGATTGAAGGTGGCTTCTGGTTTTTGTGAAGGGATCCGTGTACGTGAAGCAAAGACTGAAGCTTTCACTGTTAAAGACCATAGAGGCGAATGTATGTTGTCTTGTTCCTTTTTAAATCTTTTAATTTTAAAGCAAGTTAATTTTAAATATTATTGTCATTGATAGTGTACAAGAAACACTACCCACCTGCATTAAATGATGAGGTATGGAGATTAGAGAAAATTGGGAAAGATGGATCTTTCCACAAGAGGCTAAATAATGCTGGGATCTTTACAGTTGAAGATTTTCTTCGCCTTGTTGTTAGGGATGCCCAAAAACTACGCAATGTAAGTATTTTTTTTTTTTTTTAATTGCATTATTATATATTCATTTCAATGAATAATTTTATTTTCTTTAGATTCTTGGAAGTGGGATGTCAAATAAGATGTGGGAGGCTCTTGTTGAGCATTCAAAAACATGCGTGTTGAGTGGGAAGCTTTATGTGTATTATCCTGATGATTCAAGAAACGTTGGTGTTGTTTTCAACAATATTTATGAGCTAAGTGGTCTTATTGCTAATGACCAATTTCAACAAGTTGATTCTCTTTCAGATAGCCAAAAGGTATCTTTATATTTATATATTTTTCTTTATAATTAAAAAAAAAATACAATGCTGTAATTTTTTTTTTTTAGGTATATGTGGATACATTGGTTAAGAAAGCGTATGATAATTGGAGCCAAGTTGTGGAGTATGATGGGAAGTCACTTGTGAGCTTTAAGCAGTCAAAAAGGTCAAGGAATGAGTATTCAGTGGGGTCCATAGAGTATCCAAGATCTTCAAATAATCAGCTAATGCCACCACGTGTCCCTCTCATGGGTTCCTCAGATTCAACCTCGGTTGATTCAAATCTTCTTTTAGGAGGTAAAAAAAATGTGTGCTTATTCTTTTTATGAATCAAATGCATATTTATTATGACATTAATCTTTTTAAATAAATTCAGGTTATAATGAAAATCTTGACTCAGTGTACCAAACCCAACAACAACAACAACAACAACTCCCACACAATCAATACGACATAAATTTCACTTCAAACAATCGCCACATCAGCAACCCTAACCCTTTGCAGCAAACCAACGGGTATGATACCCGGTCGGCCGGGCTAGCCCTGGGTCCACCACAACCCTCCTCATCTTTCCCGGCCATGAACCCCTTCGATGACTGGTCCCACAACCGCATTGGCGGCGGAAGTGGCGGTCATGGCGGGGGTGACTTTATGTCGGAGGAGGAGATACGGATGAGAAGTCATGAAATGCTTGAAAATGAAGACATGCAGCACCTTCTTCAGCTGTTCAGCATGGGTGGTGGTGGTGGTGGGGGTGGTCATGGCGGGAATGTGGCGGAAGATGGGTTTTCTTTTCCGTCGTATATGCCGTCTCCGGCGCCGAATTTCTTTGATGAGGATAGGAGCCGCCCTGGGAAGGCGGTGGTTGGGTGGTTGAAGATTAAGGCGGCGATGAGGTGGGGGTTTTTCGTGAGGAAGAAGGCTGCGGAAAGAAGGCGGGCTCAGATTGTAGAGTTAGATGATGATGAATGAAAAGGGTGGATGGATGGATTGATGGCTGGATTTGGGGTAAATTTTAGGGTTTTATTGTACAGTAAGTTCAATTTAACAAACTTCTTTCTTGAAGATATGAAGTTGGATGGATACATATTATATTGGTTGTGTTTTTGTTTTATTGTATAATTAAAATTTGGTTTGTGAGAAAAATTTATGGTATTGAAAAACCAGGGAGAAAGTGTTTTAATGTAATGATAACCCTCCTGAACTTGTAAGTAGAATGATGTGCTTTTACTTTTTATGAGCTTCATTCCTTCGTACTGCGCCCTTATTAGATACAAAATGGGCAAATGTCCATCAACCTGTTGTATTTGTTGTATTTGTTTTAAAAGGTCATTTAATTTAAAAAAAAAAAGTCATTTAACCTCCTATAACATGTTTTAATCTCATTGTAGCCTTATTGAGTTATTTCGGTTTCTTAAACCCAAATCTTTTAATCAATTTGGTCAAATTTTGCCGTCGTTGGCTTCTTTCATCAAGGAGTGACACCTTCTTTACAGCAAAGAATATTCCATGTCTGCAAATAAATATCTATCACATGATAATTGATATAAAATAGTTTCAAACAATTCGGCGAAGCCTTCATAAACGGTTCCATATGACCCTCTTCCAAGAAAGTCACCTTTCAGCCGGTTTTTGTACCTTAAAAGGTCCATTAGACTGGAGGGTGTGAGGTGCGGTTCAGCTGATGTGACACTAAAACACCGCCCTCTCCATGCGGTTTTGGAAGTGCGGTTAGAGAGTGCGGTAATGGGAGGGAACGCTCCCTTCATCTCTCTCTCTCTCTCTCTCTCTCTCTCTCTCTCTCTCTCTCTCTTCCTCTATCTCTCTATCTCTCTCTTTTTTCTTTCTTTCTCTCTCTCTCTCTCTCTCTCTCTCTCTCCACCCCTTTGGTGTTTTAGAAAAGTGCAGTAATGGGAGGGAGTGGGAGGGAGTGCAGCACCACTCCCTTCAGCCTTAGGTGAATCGGAATCCTCAAGTTCAGTGGTTGCGTTTGAGGAAACTTTATCTTCATCTTCTTCTTCATCACCCAAGTTGTTTGCATTACTTAGGGGAAACGATGGCATCTTTCCCAACGTTATCCCCTCACTTTGGTTTTCCTCCTTAACACCTGTTGGATTAGATGTCTAAACCTATAATTATTATTGGTATATACTCGACCCGAGAGTAGCATGATCCATTTGGGTTGCATATCATCAGGACAATTTGGTATGTACCCGACCCGAGAGTAGCATGATCCATTTGGGTTGCATATCATCAGGACAATTTGGTATGTACCCGACCCGAGATTAGATGTCTAAGCCTATAACTATTATTAGTATGTACCACATATGATCACCAAGGGACTATAAGGACCCATAATGTAACATCCCAAATATCAAAGAATTTTAAATTTTTTAAAATCAACCATTAACCAATATTGTTTATAAAAAGAGTTATTGTTTCAAAAACATTATTTCAAAATCAGATTTTTCCCAAGACCTAGTGACATAAAACAGGAAGATGTGCACGATCACGCCTTTGCTTTCCCATGATCCTTAGAAGTACCTGAAACAATAAACTAAAATTGTAAGGCAGCCAACCTAACCGAACCGCCTCACAGGTCCTACAACCCATCCGGTCCGGTATACGAGCAGCCAACCTGACTGGACCGCCTCGTAGGGCCTACAACCTATCTGGACCGTTCTATGGGCCGCTAGCCTGACTGGACAGCCTCCTAGAGCCTATAACCTATCTGTTTATCCCCAAGTGTCTTGGCCTACAGCACAAAGTAGGACCGTCTCATTCCAACATAATATGTAGACATATGTAACAGATGAACATAAACACAGAACTAACAAATACATATAATCATAAAGTTCTTCTAATAAGTGATATACTAGCATATCACTATCCTATAACCAGGATACATAAACTAGTGGGATGGCATTAGTGCCTTCGACCCATGGTACAACGAGGAAAACTTTCATCTCAGTCTGAATGCAATCTGAATAATCCCTGCTCTGATAACCGGCTCTACCCGACTCCTAAATTCAAAACATTTCCTATTCTAAATTAGTAACAATTTTCTCAAAATACCCTTGATCAAAATTGGTCAAAATCAACAAATCAACCGAGTAACCAAACCGAGTCAACCCACTCGAGTCAACCCACTCGAGTCAACTTAGGCCTCGTACGCAGGGCGTACTTCAGATGTACATGGGGCATACTCGAGGTCCGAGGCATCAGGGCTTAACCTGCATACACGCAACGTACCATTTGGTACACCCAACGTACGTAACATGTTTCCCTCTTAAGGCATTAAGCGCTTAATACTTGATCTTTTATGTCCAAAATGTAGACTGAAGTCCAAAATGTCATCATTTACCATAAAGTTTCCAACTTTATGGCTTTGCATGGCTAAAAAGTGTGACAACCCGAAATTCCTATCTTGTACATTTATTCAAATCTATCAAAGTTAGACTCGTTTTTCTATCTTTTAGCACGATTTATGGTCTATTTGAGTGTCCTAAGCCTAGTATAATCTAGGTATGGGTCTTAGGATGAGTGTTTGTGAGTGTAACACCTTGCAAATGAGCCAAACACACCAACACAAGGTGTGTGCGGCCGCACACCCGAGTGTGCGGCCACACACCCATCCCAGCCACACACTACCACCTATATATTCAACACTTGGTCATTTTTGAACACTTTTCCACTTCTCCAAGGCTGGAACTCGAAACCCTCTCAATTATCATCCAACTTTTCACTTCAATCTTCAATCAAGTAAGTGATTCATCCTTTGATTAGTTATTACATGACCTTAACTAGCCTTCTCCTTTTGCTTTGATCCATGAAAACACCTTTTTGGTGTTAAATCTTCAAAATTACCAAGAACACCAAGAACACAAACTACCTTTTTGGACTTAATCACCCTTTCAAGCCTCTATAACGTGTATACACTTATCATAACTTGTTGTATGCTAAGAACACTTGATGATATACTTGAAAAACACGGTTTTATCATCTTCATAAAGGGTGTGTGGCCACACACACCCTTTTTAGGTCCAAAAATGGCAATGAACTCCATATAAGGCTTAAGCATGAAGTAAGAAACATTCCTAGATGAGTCCTAAAGCCTTAAAATACGTTTTGGCACATTTCTTAGGGAGTGTGCGGCCGCACACCCACTGTGGCCGCACACCCTGTCCGCACACACACAAATATGGTGTATTTTGACCACACACTCCCTTGTAAGGTCATACACCCCTTATATAAATTCATATATGGTTGTAACACTTAAATATAAGTGTTTACTAGTCCCTAAGGTGTTTTCAAACTCAATAATTAGTTGTTATAAGCACTAATTGTATACATATATATATATATATATATATATATATATATATATATATATATATATATGTCATTATATGGTTAATAGGATTTCTTTGTGCTCAAGTCTGCAATTAACACATGTGAGTTCATACCCCTTAATCTATCTTTTAAATGATTTTAAATGCTTTTATGGGGGGGGGGGGGAATACAAGTTGAAACATTGTAGTTATTATATCAATCATATGTGATTAATAACTAGAACAAACAGATAGGCCTTATTATACTTTCAAACTGTGTTATCAAACATCTATTTTAAAACTCCTTTATCAAATCCTTTTCAAACGAAAACTATTTATTCAAACTCTTTTACTTATATTGTCCACATACATGTCTATACAGATATAGGTATATAAATAGGATTTGAAGGACTTAGGACTGATAGCTCACTTTATTTCCTGTTCCTTGTTTGGTTGTGGACTTAGAGTATCTGTTATTTGTCCGAAGGTCGTTGAAATCTTTATTATATACTAGGTATGTGTGTTTAGATATAAAGGTTTTACTTCAGTTCCATGCCTTTGGAGTAGCAAGGGTATGCAAACATGTTAAATCATACAAACAACAGTTCAAGTAAACTATAATAGGTATAGTTTAGGAGATCACAACTTACTATTACTAGAATATACTAAGATGAGAAACAAACATACCTTACTATTACAAGGTACAAACAAGAACGTATACGTATACAAGTACAGTGAAGAGATCATATACATATACATTTACAAGTAAACAGAAGGAACATACCCCAACATAACTATTAGGATATGAGATTACTTCTACATGGCATGGATTTCACCGTTGTCATGTTAGTAACCAGAGTCACCTAGAGGGAGAGCGGACATTATGTGTATACATCTATACGGGACATACTATCCCGCAACCCAACTGTTAGCTACAGTCCCCAGCCGACCAAGCCAAGGGGTGACAAATGTCACATTTATTTTGACGCCAGTAGGTCATCTTATTCTACAGTCGTCAATCAGTATGGTTACTAATCTCATATTACATTATAATTCATTGGATTTAAGGTAATTAGTACTACGGTAGTTTCCACATACAAAACTACAATACTATAATATTTTCCCTAATACATTTATCCTGAAACATCTTTTCATAAAAACGATAATGTACAAACTATATTTTGATAACGATAGCCCAACTTGGAAAATATACACTCTTACAAACAAACAAACAAACCGAACATTGGGTCTTGGTAGAAGACTACAGTTAGTAGAAAATATGTAATTTTATAGGAAGATACAAACATTGGACGAACAGTTTACGAACATTTACAACGAACATTTTACTACAAGTAAGCACTTACAAACTTTTACTACAAACTTATAATGAGAAAATTTTCAACATACATTTTACAACATCAATGACACTAAATTCTTATGAACTCACCAATATTTTATGCTGATACTCTCTTTCAAAATAACTTGTATTCTCATGGAACCAGTAAGACAGGTACACCCATGTAGCTTTTGAAGGACTGAGTGGATACAAGACTCGTCTTTATTTTTGATTGTACATTTTTGGTGTCATTTAAACTTTACAAGGGAACACATGTGTACTTAACTATAACGCCCTGATTCTCG